TATATATATATATATTCATAAAAGGTGAAATCGATTTTTGGTCCAGTGGACACCAAATATCGATTCCCCCAAAGGGTCACTGGACCAAATATCGATTCCCCCAAAGGTTTGAAAACCCTGGTGTGCTTGCTCCTGATTCGAAGAACCCGCTGCACGGGATTCGAACCCCCGACCCTAGGGAATTACACCAGAGGCTGCACCAATGAGTCAAGTCGCACACACACACACACACATATATATATAACATAATGATGATAATGTTCATGCTTACACTCAACACAAATATAATTGAATAATTTATTTGAGTATTTTTATCTTACTAGGTTTTTTTTATTATCTTTCAAAAATTCCAATTTTAAGTATTTTTGACAAGTCTACAATGAATGTCTATGAGAATAAGATGTGTTTTCTGCTTTTTATTTCATCAAAACGGCATCTATGTGGCTTAGCAAAATTTTTTAGTTAGCATGGTTGGGGACTAGTTCAATTTTCAGAATAATTTGGACCATTGTGTGCTATTTTGATATGGTTAAATCTTATGATAAGAGCTGTGCATGAATCTCTAGATATAGGCTTGTTTTTCAGTAATTGCATAGTACTGAAAAGAAAATTTAATTTCCATTCTTTGGTTGCTTCATGTTATAGGCTACATCACTCCCACCTTTTTGCAATTCACATCGTTGGCTATGGCTGGGTTCCTCTTTTAGCCATTTTTCCATATAATACATAGACTGCTAGCCACCAGTTTTCTTTGTTGTTGGCTAGGGGCGGGCTGATTTGTGTACCAGTTCAGTATGTGATTATTATTAGTTTCCTTGTTAGGCACAGGATCAGGATTGCCTCTTCAAAACACGTTAGGCATGTGCTTTTTTCACCTCTCTAGGCAACTTAATATTTAATTGGAGTTTGCTAAACTGAACATAATCTAATTTTATGCTAATGCTATTATTGATCTTAGATTGCAAAACCTATAAATAAATAGCTCAAGGGTTGTAAAGGAAGTAACTTCTATTCATTAAGACTTTATTTTCCAATTTTCAATCACGTATTTGTTTAATGCGTGTTGTCTGAGTGAAGTCCAAAAGAGACTACATAATTATGGGGGAAGTCATCTATGTACTTGTATCAATGTAAGATGTAATCTTTTACACTTCGATGAACTCTTAAAGTTTCAATGGCTTTGAGATTTTTCATGGTTCAATTAATTTCTTCAAATTTAATCCATAATTGCATGATCATTTTGGTTCAAATTCTCATGTTTTCTAGTTTCATATAAAAAAAGAATATATTTAGTAGTCTTTGATCAATGAATCCTAACATTTTTTGTGTGATCAACATTCATTAAATCATCATAACATATTAAGAAAATTAGACCCTTAAGTGAAATGTAACAAAGAGAGACCCCTTTATTTTGTATTTCTTTAAATTAACAAGAAAATAACCAAATTTCTATCCATCATTCCGACACCCTCATGTGCATACAATTAAGCTCCTCAAACACCACAAGTCATTACTTGTACACCATATCAGCATAACCTTTCTAATGAATTCACGCAGTATCCCATAACAAATAATATTCATAGTTTGATGCCAGTTGAATTTTAATAAAAAATCAATTTCTATTCACTACAGCATGAACAACCTAAATTTCAAGAGCTAAAGATGGCCAGGATTGGATAAAAATTTGAAATTTTATATGAAGCAAATTTTGGGTAAGAATACAAGCTACATAACATTAGATATATCCACGAGCAGATGTCCAATGGGAACACTAGGGATCGATGCCCCCACTAGCCCAGCCAAATCTTTTATTTACTATTTTTTTAATAAACCCTAGTCAACATAACCCGTGTCCCCAACCCAAATGCCACACAATTACCTGCAAGACATTTGAAAGATTTATTTAGGAGATATGTCACAAATCTTCTTGACATTCAAACTTCATTATTAAAGTTAAAATTTTCAGTCTTCAATATCAAACTTTCAATCTTCATTATCAAACTATCAACATAACCCATGCACTGCACGATAACATTCTACTTTTTTTCTCTCAATCTATCTCTATCATGAGCTTTCCCTTGGAGATATGTTATTGATCTTCCTAAACAAGTTACTAACTAAGGTACTTTTCTCTCTGTAGTCAGGGCAAGTTTTAGAGCTTCATAACCTTGGATTTGCTACCCAGATGACAATTAAATTGGTTTTCAAGATGTCTCAAATTAAGAAATAGCTTGTCTAGTATGTACTATAAATCTTGGCTAAGCGATTCTGCATCACATCCCTATATTTTTAATTATTTTATCTCAGTCTAAATGTTTTAGTTTGATCTTATAACATATGTTAACAATAAGTTAGTTTGGCTCTTTAAAGAAGTTGGTTTGGCTTTTTTTAGAACTAATGTTGATGCATGATACTATTTTACTTTAATAAGAGTGTTTATATATATAGGTGCTTTTTAGCTCTAATCTCAATGACTCTTAGATTAGGATAAATTGATAGAAGAAGCGTATTCAGTGAATCATGTTATTCCTATATGTAAGATCTTTCTGGAATTCATATGTAGATATAAATAATTATTATGCTAGAATAAAAAAAAAATAATTAGAAAGTTAATAGTAGACACTCTCAATTGTAAGTTTTTTCATCAAAATATATTTTATCTTACTAAAACACTTAAAAAAGAAGAATTTAAAACCATCAAAGTTGGTACTGAGCCCAGATGAAAATGGTTGAACATATTTTTAACATCATCAATTTGTGCACAACAAATAAAAATTCCTGGATTCACCCTAATAGTGAGAGAGAAAAAAAAGTAATATTAGTTTTGACATGAATTATAACACAAACATGAAATTTCCCACCACTAGCACAAAAATCAGCTAATGATAAAGTTGACAACAACATTCAATATGGCAATGGCATAAAAGAACAAAATTACAAGGTTATAATATTCATACTCTAAACAATAAAAAATTTTCAATGTTCATGTTCATAATTCACAGCAAAATTTTGGTTAGAAATGGAAGATCGAACATAGGAATGTACATTATACAATTGAGTAAATACATTTCATTGCTTAAATTTTAGAAAACTAAAGAATACCAACAATTCCAGGATAAGAATGAACTCATTTGTTTAAAATGTACTGAGAAACCTATAATGGCACAACAAAATGAAAGTTTCTTTTATCCAAAAAAAAAAAAAGATTGAACAAGATTGAACAAAAATTTCATTTACATTTACAAATTGATATAAGTTAGGATATCTTTTGCAAATAGAATAAGGAAAAATCAATTTTAAGGTCTGACAAAGAAGAATGGCTCCGCATTACTTTTTCAAAGTTAACTTGAGATCCAATTTCCAATAGCAAGATATCACATGGATGTCGATCGAAAGTTCCGTGTTAGTATTTCTATTGAACAAAGTAAATCATCCTAGTTATGCTTCTATTTTAGTTCCAATATTATGTACCCAAATTAAAAATAAGTTCAACTACACACCCTGAAGGGGATCCTACAAAAGAAACAGTAAATGAGTTAATATATAGCTATAGCTAATAAATTCACACTCTATTTAATTTAAAAAAAAATGAATTAGCCAAAATTCTCAATGAAAATGACATGTTCATACTGAGTCTTGCTCAGTCAAACCTAAGACTGGAGCCATGAAGGGAGAAATGGGTCCACAACAACAATGGAGAACATTTCATTATAACAACCAACTACCAGTCAACATCAGCAAAAAGGGCCTGAATTCAGTTGAAACTATATTGAAAACTACAGCACACAACGTCCTATGAAATATGCTATAAATACCAACAGACCTCTCAGTTCACATTAGAATTTCTTAACATTAAAAAGAATAGTTTTTACAAAAGCATATAAGGGTACTAGTCTCTGATCAAGGGAAGCAAGGTAAGTTTTCAAAATTCCTATCTATAAACAGAATTTCATTTCATTTACAACTAATCTATGACACTAATGGCTTCTTTCCTCTGCCAGTAATCCCGTGACTTTCCAGCTGACCAACCAACAAATTTAATTCAGTGAAGGCAGCCGCCTGATATAAATATCAAAAGGCTTGGGGTTGGCAGACTAAAATATTAACAAAAGAAATTTAAAAAAACCTATTTTGCAAACCTAATGAAAACAGCCATCATGAGCATAATCCCAAATTTCCATGAAAACATAAAAAAAAAGAAATGCAAGAAAATTAATCTTTGTATTTCTGTTCTCCGTTCAATCAGTGGATGACGCTAACACATGGTTACCTCTACTCACCAAGAACAAAATTCGGGCGACTGTAGCCTGAAAAAGCTGTTGCAGAAGAACGCCCTTGATTACCGTCGACATCGAAACCAAATTCTTCTGCTCTTCCTCCTTTCTGGTGTGCAGCCGGAACCGATCCAATGGCGGCAAGAGCTGGTAAATCCCGGCATAAAACCAGTAAATGACGATCGGGGCGAAGGTACCCATCATCTCATCGCTGACATAACCCTCCCAGAACACCATCATACCCAAAAATCACAAACAGTCCACTACAATTCTCAGGAAATTCGATAAAAAAAAAAACGGAACGAAGGGAACCGAGGGTTTCCTGCGGCGGAGTTGTAAAAGTTGAAGTTTTGACGAGGTGAAATCCAAATTCCTAAGAATGTGGGAGGAAAAAAAAGGAACTTTAAGCGGGCAGATCTGGGGACGATTTCAGGCAACAAGTTTTCGCTGGGATGGAGGCCAGCCAAGGACCAAGGGTCCAAGGGTGAGACCCTTTTTTGGATTCAAATATTTTCCTCTCCTTTCAGCCTCGATCCGTTCTGTGGGGCACATTCCAAATAAATTGGTCTAATGTTGGGACATAATAATAAGAGTGAAAATGACTGCACTATCAATGCATGATTAAAATAAACAATTGTGATCTAGGAATTAAATATACATTTAATGATCCAGTATTTCTTTTTCTTTTTTTTTCTTGAATGTTCTTTGATTCACACGAGATAATAGTTTAGAGCACTTCTACTTATATTTATAGAATGACAAATTTATATCATTTTCTATGAGTTAAATTCCTGGGATTGGGTTCAAGTTCAAGGAGTAAAATCGATCAACCTGTCAGAATAGGCCAATTAGATCAGTTTAACTAGAGAATTAGACTAGATTATTTGTCAGAGATGCAAAGACTCCACATATCGGCCATGACAAAATTCCTAGCTCTTCTATGTGATCTTGGTAATGCATTGTAGTGGTAACTTTTTCTCGTAAATAGTTTTTTTTTGAGATTTAAAGGATCATAAGAGAAGAACATGACGAAGGCGCGTCCACTACAAAGAAATTGTGATCCCACCCATTCAGACTGGACAAGCCATACGAGCTAAGTCAACTAGGACAAAATCAACTGAGTCAAAAAATAAACAAGAAGACGACTGGGCAATTCAAGTGTAGATCATTCAATTAAAAACAATATAAGAGAGCGTTCAAGCCATCCACTACAAAAAAACCGTCTCAATGTACTAAACTATCTCACATTGGACCCAACCCAATGGAAGATATGGTTCCAGGATTTCTTCAACCACCCAACGGAAACCCAAAGGTGTGATGAGCGTAAATCATACACAAATAAAAAGAGGTGCAATGCAATGAGAAGGACCTCACGTTAGGGAGACCGTAGTCAATATAGAGTGCATTGGGGAGTTTTATCCATAAACTCCCAACTCACACTCAGAGAATTTAGCTATAGTTCATGTAAGAAGCAGACGAACCCAATTGACACTCAGAGAAATCAATTATAGTTCACACAAGAAGCAGTCAAAACTGATCGATACTTTAGGAACTTCATGGAAAGGGTCATCAAGCCCGACCGACATGTGGAGAACATGAGTCAACTTGCCAATGGTGTTTTTACTTGAGTGGCTAAATTTATCTGACAGTGATGTTAGCCATCCAATTGAAAGAAACTACCTAACTATCCGACCTTCAGCTCCCATGAGTCATAAAATTCTTATGTCTCATCTTGAAACACGGATCAAATTCTGGTGATCATTCTCTACTCACACGTGACAAGATCCATTGTGGGCAACACATGAATCTCTCCAATAGAAAGTTTGGATGATTACCCCTGTGAAGACTACAAAATTTTCTTATTATGTATGAGGTAAAGTGCGGCTTGTCTAAGGTGATGATTTAATAGAGTGATTTAGATATGAGTGGTGTGAGACTTGGGTAGGGCACTAACAAATCAAACGAATCACAAACTCACTCTTTAAAATCTCATCATCTAATTAAAATCCACCGCATTCTTCCAATTAACTGTCATTTTAGCTTCGCAAGCCTACTCAGTTCCATAGTCAATCTAGTTCACTAATTGTCTGATTAGCATCTACTATGGCTAGGCAAACTCATCTTTCCACAACAACCGCTTAACTCATGTAAATATAGAAAACAAAAAAGATATTGCAAGATACGACTGACCAATAAACTTTTATTTCTTGTTAATAATGAAAAAAGACTTAACAACTATTCTGATGAGTCTTTTTTACAAGTATTTATAAGAAAAAAAAATTAAACAAATTATAGAAGGTCCGGACTAGCCTATATGTTGGATGACCCGTTGTCAGCCGAATTGCTTTCGTCCCATCCTCCATTTGTTTGAAATCTTTTTCGGGAATGGTTGTTGATGTAGAATCTTTTCTTTGTTGCTCTTCTTTGTTTGCTGATGTTACTTCTCTTCTTTCTTCTGTAATATGTACAACCTCTGGTTGATTGGCATCTGGAGATGCCGACTGCGGTATTTGTGACTGACCTTGGATTGCGGTCGTAGCGGTCATAGCAGCGGTCATTTCTTCTATCTTTTTCTCCAATGAACTAACAAGTTCATCTTTTTGGAGAAGAGCTTTTTGCATTTCTTCAACGACATTTTCATCTCGTGAAGATGCAGAAGCTCTTGTTTCAACAACATGGATATCCATGAAGTCTTCTTCAAGATAGTCACTGTAATCAAAGTCTTCGTCTTCTTCGCTTACAGAGACTCCATGTTCTCGAGCTAACTCATAGATCTCATCTCAATGTTTTTCGACTTTCTCTTCAATTCGTGATATATCACTTGCTCTCGGAGAACCTTGTGGGGTTTCTTTCTCCATTTCAGTAGCAATAATTGTAATAATATCAGATACTTCAGATTCTAATTTGATTCCTTGATCAGACTGTATCGGTGATACAACCTTGGGTATCCACATCTTCTTCTTCAACAATGATGATTCAGGACAAGATGTCCTAATAGAACTATCAACATATTGAGAAGAAGTATGCTCCTCTTTGTGTATACCATATACAGTGTTAGATAAATATCATTGAGAAATCCTTGGACCCAATCTTGATTTTATGGGTCGATGTTCTGTAGTATCAAATCTATTTCCCAAACG